TTTTGTCGGACACATCTGGCCTGTCGGACACATCTGGCTCTTTTTTGTCGGACACATCTGGCCTGTCGGACACATCTGTCTCTTTTTTGTCAGACATATCTGGCCTGTCGGACACATCTGGCTCTTTTTTGTCGGACACATCTGGCCTGTCGGACACATCTGGCTCTTTTTTGTCGGACATATCTGGCCTTCTCTGGTCGTAGGTCATATCTGGTCTGTAGGACATATCTGGCCGTCACAGACGTTTTTAAAAGCCAAAAATTTACAAAATGAGCTTTTAATTTGTGTATTTGGATAAAGATATCGTTAGTTGGGCATGTTTTCTGAAGAATATGTTCCGTTCAGGCCATTCTGACGGCATGAAGCAAACCCTTTAAGTTCCAGCTGTAACAGGGAATAGGTAATTGGAGTTGGAAGACAATTTTGTAGGCGGGGTCTGTAACTGGGCGTGGAATGTGCGGCAATCGATTTTAGGACGAGATCCCTAGCAGTACTGGCAACAGTGCTTGAATTGGCATAGACTAAAGGTGCATTGTTCCCCTTTATTAAAGGCAAACAAGATGCCTTGACGAAAGGGACGTAGAAAAGGGGAGTAATATTCATGGTTGCCACTTTTAACTGTAACTCGGGGATAACTTATCCCACGGGACCAGAGGTGTTGCTCGTAAGTTGCAAAAGGCGTCATCATAAAGACGCCAATCATTAGCATTATGTAGCTACTTAATGCTCTAATAATTGAGCCGTACTTAAGTAGGTTTACAGAATCGTATAAATTTTTGTAAGAAAATCGCTGAAAAAAAAAAAACAAAAACAAAAACAAAAAAGGAAACAGTCCAATGGTAAAGGGTAATCAGCGATTTCTGCGAGGGCATGTGGATCACCTTTAATTTCATCGGCTGGACCCGTGTGTTTACAGTGTCGAACAGACTGCAACTGGGTACAAGGTATCTCTGCTGAACGTTGGTCTCTTGCAGGGAGGAGTCGGGGGAAGGAGAAGCGCTCGGCATTTCTGTGCCTCTGAGCAGTTCTGATGAGCAATAATACGCTGTGCCAGCACAACGCAGTCGATAACAAGTGAAGTAGAGGTTGTTTCCGTCACAGAAGAAGTGTGTGGCGGTGTGACTCGGCTTCTTTCCACCAGGAACAGTGGATGCAGGATCCAGTCGTCTTTTGCTGGATAATGAGCGCGCATTGGAGACACCCGACGTCCTGGACCGCCTACGGTACTCCTCCCAGGAGGGGTCTTGGGAGGCATGGTAACATAAAGACAAAGGAAACTAAGAAGACCGCGCAAAGGCAGCTGCATTTATATATAAGACGATTCAGTAATAAAATTCCCCGGGCCAGGTAATACAAGTAAGAACGGAAAAAGTAATATGAATAAAATATACACTTGTACAGAGAAAATATATACCCGGCACAAACCCAACGAATAGCCGGGGTAGATATGACACGAGCCATATTAATATTAAAAGTGCAAAAAACAGCTCCTAGTCCGCCGCCAGAGAAAATCCATGCAAGCAACAGCCTCAGCTTAGTCGTGCACGTAAAAAGAGGGATATCTGGTAAAACCGACTAGGCAAACGAACATACAGCTGGGTGACTCCCCAGAATAGGGGCATAACAGCTCCCACAAATTAAAACCTAGTATACCCGTACCACACGGGGTTCTAACTACTAGGCAAACAATAAAACACCTGGGATATACACCCAGAACCTAGTATACCCGTACCACACGGGGTTCCCCGTACCACACGGGGTTCTAACTACTAGGCAAACAAGTAAACACCTGGGAAGTACACCCTAAACAAAGAGCATAACAACTCCAAAAATGCATGTAACCTAGTCGACCAGAAACCCATTAAATTATGTGCACCTGGTAATGCGGACACGGAGACAACATAAAGACAGAAATGTATGGATTACGGCATGTAACTACAGCCGAGAAAATATAAAAACAGCGGAACTCCTGGCCCGGTAATATTCAGCATAAATATAATAGCTACACACAAGAAGAATTTTTTTAAGAATAACACGATGCAGTGACATCTAAACAAAATAGTTAACTGCAGCACATGACAAATTATAAATCTGATGATAAGAACACATGAATAAGGGAGCAATTGAAGATAATATAAAATTACTAGCCTGTGTTTGATCCCAGAACTTGAAGTCACTCGAATAAAAGGAAACAGTTGTCGCCGAAACTTGGTGGCTGGGAAAACAGAATATTATCCGATTAAAATACAGTCACCAAGTATCAAGAAAACTGGCCGTCCCCACATCTTGAAACCACAAAAATGTGATGTGATTTCAATGTGATGTGTTAAGTAACGTTAAAATACATGTTTGTTTCATAATATGAAAAAACTACTAGCTCTACCTGAAGACAAAAAAAAAAAAAAAAAAAAAAGATCAGGCTGTGCTGGCAAGGTGAACTTAATACTGGATGCGTGGCGGGAATACCCCATATTAATAATAATGATATATATTTCACAAGTTACAATAGAAATGAAATAAAAACTTTCATACATTAGATTTTTCGCAATGGAAAACAAAATAAGATGATCTCTTATTCATTGAGACATCATATATACATGTACATGTACATGTATCTAGTTTTAGTTTTTAATAAGGTGTACTGTAATTTTATGATTAATTTTAAATGTTGTCACTTTAGTTTCTTATCATTTTAGAATATGAATAATTGGTTCTTTAAATTAGTTCTTAGTCCTTTAAAATTGTGTTCTTATATTAGTATTGTTATTTAGTTCTTTTAAGTGAATGTTGTAAGGCGCATTGAGATTTTTAATGGAATGCGCCATAGAAAAATAAATTATTATTATTATGTAAGTTTAAACATGAAAACCTACAAACTAGCACAGCAATATGCAAATATATAGAAGGTCAAATGACAAATTAGATAAGAGCGTCTGTGGAATCACAGAGAAAGATGAGACATACTGTACCGTTACATGATGCTATTACTGTTGATCTGACAAAAACACTTATTAAAATTTAATTTCTCAAATATATAGTGAAGTAAATCTGTATACATGCACGCATTCTTTTATCGTGTTTTAATGAATATATATATAAAAGTTGTTTACATCTCACATATCGTTGTGAATATGTGTGCTGAAGAGATGTGTCTTTTTATTTACTGTAGGAGGAACTTCCCTCATTGAATTCAACCCCTTCCCCCTTGTATGGGAACAATCATTTTAATAATTAAAAGTGAGAATGAAATCGGCCATATTTCGGATCTATGAAACGAGAAAGACGCACGTAATTTGTTTTAAGATCGGCTTATGACCACTGTCAAATTATGAAGAAAATTTGAAAAAAAATGCTGATTTTATTTAAATACATTATTAAGTCATACTCACAAGAACAATGAGGGAGATAATCCTCTTTTTCATTATCCAAGGCTTTAAAGTTCGCCGCTTTTGAATTGGTGGAATGATTAGACGCGCCTGTATTCTCTAATTTTCGAAATAGATTCAACGATGAGAATTCTGTGGAAAGCAACACCCACGATAATGAAGACAAGCGTCACCAAACAGGAGCAGAGAAAATACTGTGCAGCATTTGTCCACGGTAGCCTTTTCGTGGTCGGATTGTTTTCGCTTCTTCGGCTTCCTCCGAAATACACGAAAGTCGTACGCCTTTCTGAATTACAAAACAGGGGAAATATGTAAGATCCAGACAATTGTTTATATCTCATAAACAACATAAATTTTGTTTAAAACATATTGCATTTTACACCCAGGGTCAGGTACCCCGAGTGTCAGAGCCACCGTGAAGCTAGATTGTTAACTATTGAAACGTTTTGACGCGATAGCTCCTGGTGTTGCTGACATGGGTTATATATGAAATCAAGATCGAGCTGGCAATACCGGAATCTAGAACCTCGGGTAGGGTCACGTTGCTAGTTTTTGAAATTTCTCTATGACTTTTGTAACACTTTAAATATGTTACGAAAATAATGTGAGTGGGCACGGGGTTAAGAACAATATGTAAATAAAGGAGGTTTTTGTTGGAGGAGGAACACTTTCAAGAGTCTGTACATACTCTGTTCAGGAAATTTAAATTTTGAAGACAATGAATAGGTAAGAATGATGCACCTCTTTCCATTCCTCTCATTTCTAGAAATAATCCACAGACAAACTATTTATTTTAGCTATACGGAATTTTTTTAAAAGATTTTATCTGATCCCCTGAGTTGTTTAATACATTAAACATTCACCTTTCGTACATACTACATTTTATTTATCATTATTATCACATCAGCTTTCGTTAACTGTGGGGCATTTAGTCTGTACACTTACGTAGTAGCAGCAGCAGTGCGGCTCCCTCGGTTGTAGACGCTATGGAGTTGTCTTCACCTACACCCCCCTCGGTACGGTCCTCATCAGACACTGTCTACGATTTCACCACCTAGCACTGTGCAGTGATCTTAAATGTTTCTCCTTGTATACTTTTAAGACAATTTTTATTTGGACCTCAATTAAGATGAAATGCCAACACTGTTATTATACACAGTTGTTATAAACACCGCTGTTATAAACACTTAGCACACACCCAATCATCAAATGTGACGAGGTAAATTAAAAAACGTGCGGCTTCATATATCCTGTTTGCATGGATGTATGGATATTAATAGCTCCGGCAACTTTGTTTGCCCTTGCAAACTAGGTACCCAAAGTCGGCAACGTGGGGTGTTTTTATGGCAGGCACCTGGATGTTATCTGATAGTTAGATAAATTTATTAAAACCTATTAAGGACTTCCTATTATCTTGATTGATTGACTCAGTGATCGGTTGATTGCTTGAAGACTAAATATTGTTCGTGGGTCGTGAATTTGATAATAAGTTAATAAAGAATGTCAGTTTGTCTATTAGCAACATTATCCAAAATAACGGATGAATTTTGATGACGTTTTCAAGGTAGGACATAAATGTATAACATCTCGGTGGTGATTAATAAATAAATAGTTAATATTAACAGTTTTTTTTTCAATAAAAATGCAACCCCGAAGGTTGAACAATTACAGTTTAAAAAAGAAAATTAAACATAATAGACTGAGGTAAGTAACACTTAAAAGGGAACTTAAAAGGAAATTTTAAAATCATTTATTTGTGAAAGATAACTTTAAACGATCAGTCTCAACTATTGGAACTTTAAAATTGTTCTTCTTCTTTATGATCGTATCTTTCTTTCATGCAAACAATGTTTAGTTTACATTCTGAATTTTGAAATAAAATCCCAACCCTTATTTAGTGTTTTCTTTCTTAGTTATGGGGTGGTGAGTTTATGGACCTCTACCTATAGGACATATTAATTACTTAAACCTTGGTAGCCTATATGATCCTTACAGCTCTTTTTGGATAGATTCAATAAATTCAGAGTTTTATTAAGTCCACCCTGGTCTCCAAACAGGGAAGCATACTCTAAGACAGGTCAGTTAATGAATTGATTAACTAGTAGATGAATTAGCAAATACAATTATTAATCATTAAGCTTTTTAATTAAAGATAATGAGAACTTAAATTATTAATTAACAATTATGATAAATTAGCTTATTGATCAATTATTATATAGTTAATACTATTAAGAATTAAACTGCCTTGGGGAAGGTCTGCACACTCTGGAAGTTTTTCTAGTTTCAAAAAGCTAAGCACCCAAACCCAATATTCATGTAGAGGTGCATTTCACATGCTTTAGTATCAAAAATAAAATTGAATATGTGTATAAAACAAAAATCCACGGCTGTCTCAATTTGACGTCTACATTTAATTTTTACCATGTCTTTACATTATGTAAAGGGGTCTAAATGGTAACTTACGTTCCGGGCCGTTCAATTTTAATTTTTATATCGCGATCCGATATATTTTGTAGTAATTCAGTCGTGGTATATTACATATTACGAAATGGTGTTTTTTTTAATAATGTAACTCAAGGGAATTTGCTTCCTGGCTAATACTACGTAACGTATATTCTCCAGGAAAACTGTCAGTTTCATCTTGCCCAAGTACTTAGTCCAATAGGAAACAGGGTTTTCTGTTGCTAACTGGAAAATTAATTGTGATTTCATGATACTTTGACATTTCTGATATAATATTTGGAAATATAGTTTATTTGATGCTTGTTTTACTGTCAGTAAGGTGTATTTTCCCCATTTATAAGTATTAAGTGACGAGCAAACTGAAGCCGCTAAATAATAATAATTATAACTGCTCTATACAGAAGAC